GGCTCACAACTCCTCTGCCACGGCCGAGGAGTTCAGATGGTTCATCCATCTGGTTGCTGGATGAACAGACAGACTAATGACGATAGGGAAAGGAGGAACCGTCAACTGAGCCACCTTCCCTGGGCACTGCTGCAGGACAGGATGCTGCAGGTTTGAACTGCTGGAGGAAAGATTTAAACTAGAAAGCAGCAGCTCTCTGGGGCAGCTGAGCAGGGGCTGGGCTGCCTAGGGCGAGGAGGACAGTTCCATCACTGGGTTCCTAAGCCCGGGTCAGGCCAAGCACAGCAGGGATGGGCTGAGAGCAGCTCCTGCCCTGGGATGGGTTAGATGCCCTTCAAAAACCTGGCTTGCTGCAGCTCAGGGAAACACAGACCATTTCAGCAGCTCCATTCCTTAGAAGCCACAATTAAAACTATTTTAAAAGAAAACAAACATTTCTCATCAAAATGCCTGTCTGTTCCTGGCCCGCAGCTGAAGGTCTTGTCGTGGGCCAAGGCTGCTCAATACCAGCAGCTTCCCGAGCTGCCTCCGGGCAAATCCACTTGAGCTGGACTGTCAGAGTTCTGGCTGCATTTGGTAATCGACCCTTGGAAATTTTGTACCTTTTGCAGAAAAATAGAAAGGCTGGACTGGTGCTCTCCTGCTCTCTGCAGGGTCTTTGTTTCTGGGATGGCAACGAGCTTATGGCTTCAGCATTTGTTGTGCAAAACAGCTGCATGGGCCGTACCCCATCCTGCGGGCACGCCTGCACCTTTTTCGGATGGAGCCCAGCCCCGCAGGGCACTGTGCGCCCGTGCCGCATCCTGCGCTGCCAGGCAGCGGAGGACGGCTTCCAGAGGGGAATGGTGCTGCTGCCAGCAGGACAATAGCGGCTGTGGTTTTAATTATTGGGGTTTAGTTGTGTGGAGCGGAACAAGAAACGGCGAGCAGCGAAACCGCAGGGAGAAAGGCAGAAAGGACAGTCTTTGGCCGGCTGCCTGATGGGAGGCGTGGTGGGGGTGGCTGGACCGTCCCATGGCCGGGAGAGCACCGGAGTCTTCGCCGGGTCACGGCGTGAGGGCAGGAATGGTGGCACGGGTTGGCTGATGTCAATCTGTTCTCCTGCGACTGTCGTGCTGTCGCCCGGGGCTGTCCCTTCCCATCACAGCTTGGCACAAGCTGCTGCTGACTAAACGGCCACGTATGGAGACAAAGCACTGTGTGGTGACTTGGGAGCATGGACCCGGCTGGGAGAAGGGGGACAGCAAGACAAATCACATTCCATGCAGGGTCCCTGCCCTGGATCCCCCTCATCCCTGCACGTGTTGCTGGTGCCAGTCTATGCCTGGGAGCGGGGGCATTTCTCACTGCGTTTCCATTTGCCCAGCACTTTAACAGACGCATTCGCTGCAGTGTTGACTTTCAAAGGGCTGGATCAGCTCCGCGGCTGGGCAGAGTGTGGGAGGAGGGTGCCTGTCCCGCTTAGGAAACACAAAACAATAAAAAAGGAACAATGGAGCCTCCTTCCCTTCACCCAAAATACCAAATGCCACCAAAATGTGGCAGAGCTCCAAGCAGTGCTGCTGGGGCAGCTCTCACGTCCCCTGGCCTGAGGAGGGGAACTGCAGATACCACCTCCTCCTCTTCCTCGGCCCTGGCAAGGGATGCTGCAGGAGGGTGGGTGCCAAGGAGCATCGCCAAAGGGCTGCCCTGACCTGACGCTGCTGCCAGCGGGCATTCCCAGCTTTGGAAACCGTATTTGGGCCAGGGCAGTGGTTTTGCAGCATGGCTGTGCCTTGGGGAAGGATTTTGCAAGCTGTTCAGGCTTCCCGGCTCAGCTGAACATGCTTCACAGCCAGCCCAGGGGCCTGGGAAGGTTTATAAAAGCATCCACGTACCCAAACTCACCAGACTGTTATCAGGCAGAGAACACATTCATTTGGTACCCGTGTGGTGCCAAGCATGGGGAGGTGCTCGTCCAGGTTGGCCAGAGCTGGGAGTCCTGGGGTGGGAACGGGTCCGTGCCCAGCTGGAACCCACCCGCCCGCCCGTGCATCCTCTCACCTGGCCCGGGTGCTGCCAGCAGCCAACAGTTTTTCAATGCACGGGTGCTTGGGGACGCGAGGCTGGGGCTGAGCATCCCAGGTGTGTGGGGCTCAAGGGGACTGTTTGTGGAGCAGTGAGCGGATGGTGCCAGTGCATCCCCACCGTCACTGCCCACACCTTGGCTGCTCAGGGCCACCGGCACTGTGCCAGCCCTGTCAAGGAGCTGCCGTCCCCAGCGCACAAGCCCTCGTGGGTGAAACATCCTTCACACGGCCCCAGCGAGCACCCGGCACCCTGGCCAAGCACATCTGGCTGAAAGCTGTGGGAGCTGCCCCAGCAATGAGGACACCAGTCCGGAAGCGCTTCCCTCCTGGAGAGATTCCCCCGTCCCATCCAGGCTCCTCTCCCGGCACCATCCCTGGTCCCATCAGCGGGTGCCAGGCCGTGGGGTCTGCAAAGGGACGGTGCCCGGGGCTGCCGCCCACCCCTGGTTTAGGTGGCGGGAGTGGGGCTGGGAGCTCTGCTTCCCACCAGCGAGGGGAGAAGGGACTCCAGGCTGGCCTGAGGAAAAATTTCTTTACTGAGAGGGTTGTCAGACATTGGAATAGGCTGCCCAGGGAAGTGGTTGAGTCACCATCCCTGGAGGTATTCAAAAAGCGAGTAGTCGGGGTACTCCAGAACATGGTTTAGCGGGCATGGTTGATGGTTGGACTCGATGATCTTGAAGGTCTTTTCCAACCTAAATGATTCTATGAGGGTGCTGCCGGCACAAGGCGGTGTGGACCGTGGCTGGGCTTGCCGCCAGCTCCGCTGCCCCGTACCGTGCGGTCAGAGCAGGGCGGCAGCAAACGGCCCTTGCCGCCTGCCTGCAGCAAAGCAGGCAACAAACCCTGGGCAAGCGGGAGCCACAGCCAGGTTGTCCCCACACTGGGGAGGTGAGCTGGTTTAAACTCTCAAGCTAGACCCTGGTAAGTCACACACGGGACTTCAGCTCCCGCCTGCGCATACCCTCAGGACACCAGCCAAAGTCCCGCTTGCCCACGGGAGGAAACAGTGCTGGAGGAGGGCAAGGGATGGAAAAGCTCCTTCTGAGGGTGCTGCTGCAACTAAAGCTCCTGCAACCTGTTGCTCTGGGAGCCTGGGCCAGGGATGGAGTTGGGATGCGGTGCTGTGGCTGGGACCCGGGGTCTCGGCGATGCGGAATCAGTCTGCTGCCATCATGGGGTGGGCAGGCTGGCTGAGTGCCCAGCGTGGGCAGGCAGGGGCCAGGCACAGTGGTGGGGGGGCTCACCCCATGCACCACCATCCACTGGGGTCCTGGAGCATCGCTCTCCGGCAGCGCTCCCGCCCCATGTCCCACGTCCCCTGCCTCAACTTGTTGCTATTGTCATCTCTAATATCACGCAGAGATATGAAAGGCTGAAAGTCGCCTCTTTTCCTGCCAGGTTAAATCGTTCACCAGGAATGTCTATTATTCCCACAAGTCAACTTTCCCCTTCGCGGTATGTGTCCAGGGGTCATGCCTGGCACTACATGAAAGTGAAGGGTATTCAATAACCTAGAGCCGTGGAAAGGCTTTAGTCCAACTCCAACCATGTTCAGCGTTTTATTGATGCAGCATGCCTTTCGCCATTTGTTTCCTATAAACAGCACATGGTAGTATTTAGTAGGTTTCAAACAGAGCTTTTTGCATATTCTCCCTTGTCTACAATGAGCTACTCGGTAGTAGACAGTTTTAATTTACTTAATGCAATTTTTGCTTTTTGTTCTTCCAGAGGGTCTGGGCTGGTTTTGACCCAGTCGCCCCAGCAAATTACTGCACAACTCCGTAATTCCCAGGGGGCCAGCAGTGGGAGCTCGGGACCCACTCCCCGTGGGGGCGAGCGTGTTCCCTTGCTCGCGGAAGGAGGGAAAAGGACCCGGCGTGAGCTCACCGTTGCAAAATAACCCCCTTTTAGCTGCGACATCAGCAAGGACACAGGGCCTGCCTCCACCCTGACCTCTAGGACAGAGTCCCCGGGGGCAGCTGCTGCCCAGAGGCTGTCTCAGGAGCCGGGTGCGTGTCGGGGCTGTTTGGGGCCATTCTGGCTGGCGAGGCTTGGCTCTCGCTGCCGGCTGGGCAGGCGACACGTGACGCTTGGCAGCTCCAGCCAAAGAGAAAAAGCCGCTTTATTGCAAAAGCTGCTGTTTCCCTGTCCTCCGGGCTGGCAGCGGGCCGGGGTGCAGCCCTGGGGGTGCTCAGTGCTCGGGGCTGAGCAAGGCTGCAAGGTGCCCCCCCGGCGCAGGGGGGATGCCCACCGGCACACTGCAGGGTGTCTCCCCTATGCTGCCAGCTCCTGGAGAGCATTTACGCTGTTGATAGAAGCAAGGGAGGCACAAATTCCTGCTCCTGGAGAGCCAGCAGTTGCTGTTCTTCGCCTGCACACTCCCGCCTGCAGCACCGTGTGCCCGACGGCAGCCATGGAGCAGCCGCTGTGCTGAGCTGAGCTGGCACAGGGGGGCACAGATGCCCCCCGAGGTGATATTTTTGTGACTAAGAATGACCACAAATAGCATGCCTCAGCTCTCTCTGCAGCGGACTGCCTTGGGCTGGCGGTAGCGAGTCCCTGCTAACGTACATGCACGAGTATTCACGGGGCAGAAAATGCCAGTCCTCAAACAAGCAAACATTGACTGTCTGGTTTCCCAGCGCTGCCCATCAGCCTCCGAGTCCCACCCCCAGCCACAATCCCTCCGTGTGCTGAATATTGGGCAGGTTTCCTTCAGGCAGCAGCTTTCACATGCACTGGCAGCCAGACATTCTTGGTGCGGCGCTGCCGTCACCCTGCCAGCCCCGCTCAGCTGCTGCTCCACACCAGCACCCATGTCACCAAAAAAAAGACAAGAGGAAACCAAGGAGCTGACACCAGGATTCTTTTAATGTGATTGCTTTCAAAATGCAGCCTTAAAATGACTTATAATGGTCAATGATGGGAAACGTTGGATCTTTTTCATCTCTGCAACATGACCGTGTGACACCTCTGCCTCCAAAACCCACCAGCCACTGCTTTTCCTCAATGTCATTCTCCAACTGTTTTTACAGCGACGCTGCCCCTTCACAGGACAAACATCACATGGGGCATTCAAACCCTCTCACCAAAGGTACTCATTTGGGCAAAAAAAAGGGACAGGGTGAGTCGTCCAGTGTCCAGATGGCCCAACATTTGTCCGGAGAACCTAAATGAATGGCAGCACAAGCAGCAGCTTTTTCTCTCTCACCTTACACTCAGGCATAAACCTACAAAGGTATTTGAGCCGCCAGGTCCTGTGGAAGTGAGTAAGAGCTATCGACTTATTATTATCAAGCTTCTAATTATCTCTGTGGATCTGTGCCTTCATGCTATGTAAAGTGATCTGAGAACTGAACATCTGACTGCATTTTCTCGCTGAACAGGACGCAGAGGAGTTGATTTTCCAATACCTTGCTTTTTGAGATGTAAGACTACTTTGTGTATTTATTTTACAGAACAGCAGGTGCTACAGACTGCCGAAGCTTGCCAATTTAAGTAACACGGGAAATTCTGTTGTAGCCTAAACATCTGTGAGAATATACCCCAGCACCACCTCCATGCTCTACAGTGTTTATACACCATAACAGGAGACCAGACTCTACTTGCTGAAATGCACTTAATACCTCCCAGTCGTTAGTCTGAGTTTTGTTTTTTGTTCCATGGACTTGCCATGCGGCCCCCAGGGCGTACACACTGTAGAAGACCAATGGCATTTTAGCCACTCTTTTCGTTTCCCCATTTAAAGTATTTACTGCTGCTCCACTGGAATTTAATGGTCCTCCCCTTCCAACCGGGGAGTCATGAGACTGCTGGGGAAGAGAAACTGCTGAAAGGCCCAGGCCACACAGGCCTCCTGAATCTGCTGGTGCTGCACGATGCCACGGCTCTCTGAGAACAGGAGCCTCCCTGACCTGGTGCCAAAACTCAAATGGCTCTCCCAAATCACCCCTTTGTATCAAGCTTGCATTTTACTACTAACTTCAGAATCAAATGCAGGAAGCCAGTTTGGTCTACAGAAATACTATGTGCTTATCTCCAAATGAATTTTAAACCTCTCCTTTTAAGGATAGCATTTAACAGTAAATCAGTGGGCTCTCACAGCTTGGTCTCCAATTCTGGTAATAAAACATTCAATCAGATTTGAACAAACTGGAGCTCTTCTGGAGTTTGAGCAGTAGTTCTCGCGCAACCAAACATCACCATTAGAAACTGAGCATAGAAAGAGTCCCCAGGGGAATACGAAAAAGACATCACCTTATGAAAAAGCTTCAGAATGAACCTGTGAAATAAACAGCAACCAGACAATTGTCTTCTACGGAAGATGGAAGTAACAGTAGAAGAATATAATAACATCTTAAACAGTCAGTAAGTCAGTCTGAATGTACAGGGGCACTAGATCCCTACAGATCTGTGATGAAAGCACTATATCCCTACAGATCTGTGACGATAGCTAATGGCCAAAACCAGGTGGTCCCCGCCAGTCCCAAAGGGAGACTGGGTTGCGATTCACTCTTCACCAGCTGGAAGATTGTCTTCAATCCGCCTGATGAACTTCATTCTTATTTCCGTGACGCTGTCACCCTTCAACGTGTCCTGGACAAATTTTACATCTACGGCCATCTGAACCTAGGTGATGGAAGAAGAAAAAGAAGAGCTGTTATCTCCCTCATAACACCAGCTTCTCTAGGAACCATCTTATCATGAAGCACCAGCTTAAGGACTCTGAGGGCATGACATGCAATGCAGAGCTCTACGGGAGCACTCATTATTTTTCAAGATCACATACTCCTCGTACATTGTGGCCTACATGGTGGACAACGGGCGCCTTACCTTGGCAAATGTACCTCCTACAGCATAACCGGGACTCCCTGCAGAAACCAGAGCCTGATTAACCCTATCACTCAGGGCTACACGTCCTGCTGGTCCATCTATGTTCCTCAAAAATTTCAGCTAAGCAAGATAATCAAGCCTAAATATAGACTCCTAAATTTGAGACACAGCTGTTCTCTTGTTCCAGCCAATTCCCAACTAGGGCTCACAGCAGTTACAAAGTGAGGATTTTGAAGCTTCATAAAAATTCAAGGAGATAATAGTGCTTGTACTTGGGTCATAAGATGAAGGGTCTTGGTCAGCACCTCTGAGACTCACAGCTGCCAGACACAACAGCAGCCAAGCACTCCTGTAGCTCTGCTTTTCTCCTGGGAATGAATTTCAAGTCCAAAGCAAACACAGAAGTCAAGAACACAGACTAGACATTAAAGTGTCTGCTGATACCTTGGTTATTCATGTATCTATCTCACTGGAAGAGAGATGTTGGCTCACCATTTCCAGGGCACCTCGCAGCACTCCACACAACAAGTTGGAATAGATGAGAGATGAGTGGTTGTCAGGGAGCTCAACAAAGTCCACCAAGGGGTTATTTTCCAAGATCAGGGAGAACTCATCACCTCCAGGACTCCAGTTGGTGATGCTCGGAGTGATACCCAGGTACATTTTAAATGCAATCTGTTATGTCAAACAGAGTACGAACAAGAACATGTCCCATGAAGCAGCAGCACAGCTTTGATCTTTGCAAAATTACTAAAGGGTTTTGAAAAAAACACACCTTTCTCCCAATTCCCACCAGTCAGCAGTAGTCGGGGATCTAATTCTCTCTTTTCCGCCCAGAATCTCAGTCAAACTCTCAGAACAGTCCTCTGAGTAGCAAACACTCTATTCTCACATGCAAAACCTGACAAAGCTGTGCTTTGACAATTACCTTTGCGATAACATCTGCAGTTTCACGGAAATCGTGGCATCTTCCGACATTGGACCGGGCCAGAAAGTCTTCTATTAGCCGAACACCTATATTGTAACCCCTGTGAATGTACCAAAGAGAAACAGCTACAGAGTGGGAAGAGCACAAATTTAGAAAGACAGCCAACGTTTATAAAAGATAATGGAGGAAAAAAAATCTGAGAAATATCAGTATTAGATAAAATTCAGTCTGCCAGGCTTTCATTTTATTCATAGAGCAGCACACAAAGCTGTGCCTACTGTGAACCCGAGTTCCTACAAGGCTCTACTGCAGCAGATCCACTTACATTTTGTCAAGCTGCTTGTTGACATCCTCGTCATTCTCGTAGTCCTTGCACAGCTGGGTGACCAGAGCACCGTACGTCAGCGTGAAGAGCTCTGAGTTCTAGACAGAGGCAAAAGGGATTTAGCGCAAGCCAGAGAGAAAACTGACTGAGCACTGCTGCATCTGTGTCCAGCGCTGCTTCCGTTGGCCCGGAGAGGGGGAACAGAAACCTGCTGTCTCAAAGGAATTTGCTGCTTAACAAGGAGAGATCCCAGTTCATATTTTGGCAAGGCAACTTCAGTCTCCTTGGAAAGAGAAATCCTCTTTGACTAGGAAGGACAGAGCACTTTCTTTCTCTCCCTCTCTCCACACACACAGCACTTCCCATTAACGTGTCCTGAATCTGACCTGAAGAGGCAAGCCAGGAGGCTGCTCACGCTCTGCAGCCATTCTTAGCAACTCTCGTCAGCTGCCAATTAGCATCTGCTTTAACAAGCACATCCCCAGATAACTGGAATGACACCTCCAGGTCATTTGGTGTGCTACCGACCACCTTCTGGATGGCTAAATGTGCAGTTGCCAGGGACCTGAATTTATTTCAGCCACTGACCTAGAGGTGAAAATTGGCTCAAACTGCTGTCTGTTATCTGTGTTTCATAAACACGCTGCAAATGGGCAACACTTATTAGGCTCCGTTTCTAGTCCTTTCAACAGGGCAAAAACCACTCCTCCATTCACGGATTTATTACATTCTGCTACTAAGAAAAAACAAGACTCATCTGGTCCCTAGAAAGTTATCTAGGCACATAATTTGCTTCATACATTAAAATCAGCTCCTCACACCCAGAAGAGGAACAGCAAGGGTGATTTCAGGTCAGCTCAGCAGATCTGTGTTGCACACATCCGCTTTCTGTGCCTGGCTAGGATCAAAGTTACTCGGGTGTTCTTTGCACAGTTGCCAGATTTGCAGAAAACACCAAGGGAAGAGGCCTCCTCTCCCAGCCACCACCATCACCAATCCTTGACCTGAAGCAACTACGTCAAAGTGCATTTTCTTGGGAGCCACTAAGCCAGACCAGTGATTATCACGGTCATTAAAGGCTGCAAAACAAAGCTACAATAGGCATTAGCTTTTCACAGAACCTGAAGGAAGTGTTTTCAGGAACAAATAAACCATCATTATTTATTTCTGCTTTCAGTTTTAGCATTCAGAAACATTAGAGTCTAATCTCAGATTAAAAGCCTATCACCTACCATGAGATGCATAGATGCAGAAGGTGAAATGAATGGCAAATACCAATACTACAGAATGAAAGCAGCAGGCAGGCAGAAAGGAAGGGAAAAGAGACAACATCAGAGTTAAGTGACAACACTGATCGCACTTCATTCTGAACAAGTTTACACAAAGCCAAGACAAACAGAAGGAGGAATCACTCCCAAACTGCAACATTCAACAAATAGAAATTGGGTTTGTTAGAAGACACAGGGAATTCCACCTTGTCATTGTAATTCAGCAGGTCAACAGCAATTAGCTACCAAAAGGCTTTAAGCACGTGAAAAGAACCAGCCAGGCTCCTTGGTACTTTTGCCCAATTTTAGATCTAAAGAATTGACACAATCTTTGGGGTTTTTTTATTTACAGTTCTGCTTTTATCTTGGAAGGAGAGAGGTTGCACAAGTTCACATCACCCCAGTGAAAGACAAGGTGGAAGTCTCCTTTAGCTCAACTGGCAGAGTCAGACATTTGGCAGAGAATTTAGCAAACATGCAAAAAAGGTTATGCTATTTTTAAGGATTTCAGTAATTTTAGTAAAGACAGGGCTTGGCAGCTGGAGAGAGTAAGGGGTGAATGGATGGAGGAAACCCAGCTGTTAACAGTCCAAGATGTTGTCATTTACTGTGTAAAGCCACGAAGCCGTCACCTACTGTTATCAGCCCCAAAGCATGCAAACCCAGTGCTGGTCATAGTTATCACCTGCAGTGCTGCTGTTCGGGTAGCTTTAAACTCTTATAACAAGGCAAACTTCTGAATTCATATTTGTGAACAAACTCTTCATTTTCGGATCATCTAATGGAATTAAAGCGCCTAACAATTTTCCCACTAGTTCTGTTTTTTCATATTGCAGACTAGCGTACGGTCTCAACGCCATATAACCGTTCCGTGGCTACAAAAATGTCGGAATCCTAATGAAGCAACGCCAATTCCTTAAATAAAAATCACTGTATTTAAGGAGTTGAATCCCTAGAAGAGAACCTCTCGTGGCGCAGAGGAGGCCAGAGCGGGCAGCTGCCTGAACCAGCCCGTCAACACGGTCAAAGACGGAGAAAAGCCAGATTTTTTTTTTTTGTTTTATTACTTGCTTTCGAATACTGGCATTGCATCAAAATTGAATTAATCTGATCTGGTTTGACCCAGAATCAGACCTCAGCTCTGCGGTTTCGTTCTCCACCTCTCGTTTCTCGGTTCGGCTGGACTGCCGGTACGGAATGGGGTGAGAGAGGAGAAAAGAGAGCGAGGTGAGACAGGCCTTGGCGTTCCCGCTGTCGGGCTCCCGCCAGCACCGGTGTCCCGCTCCCGCCCGGTCTCCGATCCCGACACACGGCAGCAGCCGGCTCTCCGGCTCCTCAGCACCGGGTTCTCCCTTGCCCTGCGCTGCCGGTGACGGACGGGAGCTCCCCTCGGGCGCCGCCGCGGGTACCGGACGCTTTAGGCCGAGCCCGTTGAAGGGCTGCGGCGGGCTCCGCACCCCTGACGGGCCTCCGG